TTTTTTTTTGTTTTTTTGGGTTCTAATTTCTTACAGCAATAATAGTACTCAAAGTAATTCCATCTTCTCTTCTAATATAGGTGCAGGCATGTGACTGCAGGTAGTCAATTAGATATGAGAAATTTGCAATGTCTAAATATGATTTCTAAGAAATTGTAATTTTCTTGCTATAAGCTTAAAAATGAAAGTAACATTCAGGTTAGGAGAGTAGAGATATGGAAAGGCAAAGGTCTTGTACAACAAACATAACTGAATCACAAACCAAATTTGAATCCTTCTTACCACTGGGCTTCCTATTATATGACATAAATTTCTATTAAAGCCAGTTTGATTTAGGGTTCCTATTACTTCTAGCCAAACCATCCTAATGGATATACTATTTTTGTTACAATAAATACATATATAGTCTTAGATCTAATTCCTATATTTTCTAGTCTGTTATACTGATCTGATTATTTATTTTTTACTACCATATAATTTCATTTACAATGACAAGTCCCTTACCCACACCACTATTTTTTCCACAATGTTTTGCCATTCTCAAATACTTAGTTTTTCATAATAAACTTTTCTTCTTAGAAAGGAAAAAAGAAATAGAAGATGGAAAAAATTTGATGTGCATGCTGGATTTTATAAGGGCTTTTAAGAACTGTTTATAAACAAAGCATAGTGAAATATTTTAACTAAGACATTTCTTGTTCACATTTTCCTTGACCAATTAATATATCACATTTTTGACAGAAGAGAACAATCATTCCATAATCAAAACAGTATGTGCTTCTTAGCTAGTTAAAGAACCACCCACTGAAATATGAGAATTTCCCCACTTAAAATCTTATATGGCTCTGAGTGGCAAATATTGGAAGTGTAGAGAATGTTGAGTTACACATTTTCTTTCTTTTGGTTAAAAATCCAATAACTTTGGTGGCAAATTCTCCAAATTTATTAGAGAATAGTTGTATTTAATACTTGAAGCATTCTACCTTTATTTTTTCTATCTCTGTGTCTATATATAATAATTTTAAATGATTCAAAATATTGACTTCCCTAAGGAAATGAATCTTTCCTCCCTAAGTCTCAATTTGGCCCTTTCTGTACTCCTTCTCTTGCTTGCACTGTTATGGTTATTGCAAAACTTTCCCATGACCATCTCCCCAGTCACTATCTTATTTCTTTGTTTTACTTTATAGCCATTGAAGCCCTGCAATATATGATCTGTTTCCTCTTCAGATATAGCTTGAAAAGAGTAAAAAGCACTGGTTTTGAAGTAAGAAACATCAGATATATAATTCAGTAGCTTTATTACTTTGAATAACTATATCTCTTAACTATTTCCTCATCTATTTAAGAGAAATAATAATATCTACTCCAAAGTTTGCTACAAGAATTTGAGAAAAGTTGTGTGTGTAGGGTGGAGTGGAAGACAAAACAAAACCAAAACACCCTATAGGAGTTAGAAATTTTTGAGAAATGTCATTAAGTATTTTATCTATCCTTTCTTTACTGTAGTCTTCACTATATCGTCTACTCAACTTGCTCCCTCAAAGATCACTGTTGAGGGGTTGGTAGAGTGCTCACCTAGCATGTGCAAGGCCCTGGGTTCGATCCTCAGCACCACATAAAAATAAATTAATGAAATAAAGGTATTGTGTCCAACTACAACTAAAAAATAAATATTAAGAAAAAGATCACTGTTGACTACTCCTTCCTTAAAACTTCCATCTACCTAAGGCTGCACTATCCTGATTTTTCTGCTGGTTCTACCATTCTCTTTTTCTTTCCTTTAAACTGGGTACTTCCTGAGACTCAAATCTTGGTGGTCTGCACTTCTTTGCTATCTTTATTTTTTTTCAGAAAACAAACCCATTTTTATAGCCTCAGTGATCATTTCTATGCTTATGACACCCCACTCCTGGACTCTGTTCTATTTTCTTTACTAAGCTCCAGTTTTAGGTGCCAACTTCACTGCTCACCCTTTCTTCATTACATATAGGATCCCTAAGTTCTGAGTAATGACCTTCCAGAAAAATGTATATGTATTTTTGTCTTTTACTCCTCAAATATCCAGGATGATACTCTGTGACTTATTCTAGAAATAGGAATAAATTCCACCACCACCACCACCAACAACAAAAAGAGTATAAAAAATAAAGAAAACAATTGTATTGTGACAAACTTACAGTTCTACCAGTTGGGCCTATTATACCTTCTCTGCCAAGAGGGCCAGTATTTCCCTGTTGGGATTAAAGAAAAGCAGTCAGTCTCATGAAAATTTCAAAGAAATATTTTGTGCAATGGTAAAATAGCCATGTGTAAAGAATTATGGTTTTTATGATAAAATCTTGTAGTATTACTATAAATTGTAGTGATCTTGGTTAACAGTATGTGACACAATTGTGTATACTATTATAGTTTCCTTTCTGGACCACTGTATATGTATAATTTCCAACAAGTACATATTAGAATCAGAATGTTTATGTGGTCATAAGTCAAATGATACATATTATACATGTGTCATTACATAACAAATAAAACTATTTTAAAAAGAACAGAATGATGAACAAAATTTTGAACAAATTTTTGTACTCACGCAGAAGGAACAAGTGTTTGAGTGAACTGAGGTGTATAATAGACAATACAGGAAAGAATTGGGGGGTATCATATATAACCAACCAAACTTTAGTTTCTTTGTCTGTAAAATAGGGCCACTGTGAAATTAAATGTGAAAAGAGCCTTTTAAACTGTAAGATGATATTTGCTTATGAAGATAATCTTGAATGAGTTCAAGCTCCTGCAGATTCCTTCCATACTAGGTATGTTTCTCAATGCCTGTTGTTTCTCAATGAATACAAAATCCTTGTTTTAGTGTTTCCCAACAATTTTTACTTCAATTTATACTGCCTGTAAAATTGTCTTTCTGGCTAACACTTAACCTAATACATAAATGTAGATATCTAACAGGCTTTATCTTTTTCTGACTCTTACAAAGGTACAGAGATTAGAGTATTATCATTTGAAATAATTATAACATCATGTGGTCTATTGGTCGATAGTTCTAATATTAATTGGCTTAAAGTGAAGTTACTTATTGGTCTAAATCTAAGAGAATACTTTGTAAACACAGAGATTGACTTCAAGTGATAATTTGTAAATATGGTAGTCAAAATTGAAAGCATTCCCTCTAAAAACTGGAACAAGACAGGGATGCCCTCTTTCACCATTTCTATAACAGTTCTTGAAACACTGGGCAGAGCAATTAGACAGACTAAAGAAATTAAAGGGATATGAGTAGGTAAAGAAGAACTCAAATTAGCACTATTTGCTGACAATATGATTCTATACCTAGAAGACCAAAAAAGTTCCACCAGAAAATTTTTAGAACTAGTAAATGAATTCAGCAAAGTAGCAGGACACAAGATCAACACCCATAAATCAAAGGCATTTCTGTATAACAGTGACAAATCCTTTGAAAGGGAAATGAGGAAAACTACCCCATTTACAGTAGCATAAAAAAAATACTTGGGAATCAACTTAATGAAAGAGGTGAAAGACCTCTTCAATGAAAACTACAGAATGCTAAAGAAATATTCTAAAAAAATTCTGAAAAAAAATTTTAAAATTTTGATTTATATTTTCTTTAGGACAGTGGTTTTCAGTTGTAAAGTTTTTCAGGACTCCTTTCTACTGCATCTGAGCTGTTTCCTGTCTTCCTCTCTGTTTTCTCCACATTTGCCTTGGCAGTTGTAGTTAGCCATACAGATGACATTAAAGTTTCAGTTTTATAAAATGTCTCATCAATTAGCAGACTATGATTAATAAAACAAAATAAAAGTAATAACCATTAACTGCTGGTAGTTTATTTATATTCTCTAGAGTTTGAAACTATAGGCACTACAATGTTATCTGGAGTTCTTCAGATCCTGATTTTGAAACTCCTTAAACAACTCTTATCATTCTCTTGGGACACTTGCCCCTGAGATGGGAAAACACAGTTATCAGGAAATATTTTTCACAGTGTGGTCTGAAGAGCTCTGGTCACAGGCAAGCCTCCACCAGGTGGTGCGTGGGGGTGGTCTCTGGCTTCTGGTTGCATTATGCTTATGACATGAAACTACTTTTTGTTTTTGCTACCAGTGTGAGTTAATAAATACACTCTCCAGTCTTCACAGTAATTCTGATGATTGTTTTTTTAAAGTAAGAACTGGAAAATATGGTTGGTCTATGGAGGTATTTTGCTAAAGTTAATTTATGAACTGCAAAATGTTGAACTCCATAAGTACTCTTATGATTTTCTATCTGAATAAATCATTTTACTAAGCTATTAATTCGGAGTATACTAATTTTTGAGTTCATAAATCCTACAACAAGCAAAGAAGCACAATTTCTAGGTAGCCAATATGACTCTATACTTACTCTCTGCCCAATAGGACCTTTAGGACCTGATATTCCAACAATGCCAGCATCTCCCTCAGGACCCTAGACATATAATAAGAAGAAAAAGATAACAATTTTAGTTCTATGTTATTATTTTACAAAGAAAATAATCTTATACCCATCTATCAAGAATTGCTTCTTCAAAAATACTCTTAAATATGTGAACAAAAGGAAATCGTACAATAAAATTTCTAGGCAAATATATAATTATATATGTTTAACAATTAAAATGATCAAAATTTAAATATATGACTGTATCAATTGAAATTATGCAGGTTAAAAAGAAAAGCTCAAGTCAGAGACTAAATATTTCAATAACTCTTTTTCTAGATAACTTGAAGATGAGCAGAAAATAGATAAACATACTTTGGGGCCTGGGAATCCTTGGAAACCTGTCAAACCTTGATCACCATGTTCACCCTGAAATTGTATAGACATGATAATCATTACTGTGCACTGGTGGCTTAGTCTGTAGAATGGGTACTTGGTGAATTTCTGGATTGGCACATACAGGTTGCCCTTTCAGACCAGGCTCTCCATGTGGTCCTTGATCACCCTGTGTTCCTCTGTGACCTCTTTTACCTCGAACTCCAGGTTGACCAGGGAGCCCTTGTTCACCCTGTGGATAAAACAAAGAAAGGTGATCTTGACCTCAGAACTTATAAACATATTGACTTTTCAATGGAACTCAAAGACTTAAGCATAGTGAAAGCACCGGGGAAATCAAATTCTAAATAATTGTTTCCACCAATATTTTCCAGCAAGTAATATTTGATTTTAATAAATAAGAGGTATAGCAGTAAGGAAAGAAAATTTCAGAGATTGTGGTGGTAAGTATGTAAAGAGGAGAGTAGGAGGTAATTATAAAACTAGAAGGGGATATGAGGGCTACAGAGGGGATGGGTGAAGGTGGAGTATGTGTGTGTGTGTGGGGTTACATGAGATGGAACTTGTATATTATTTGAATTGACATCATTTTGATGTATTTTTCCTAACCATACAGAGATGACTCAGCCATCTGATAGCAGAAACAGAGCAGTCTCCTAAGTACAGACCAGAACCCATGTTTTTTCCATAATTATCATCTCAGTTCCACCATTAAGAAATTTCCATTATCTGTTTTCTTAGGTCCCTTTATTCCCTAAAAGCCCACTTAATGATACACATAATTTCCATTATCATGTTTTTTTCATTTATTTTGATTTTCTTTTTTTTTTTTTGAAGTGAGAGTTGGAATACTTTTTATACCATTTCTAAAAGTAAACTTAGGAATCAGATGAATTTTATAGATAGATAGGATAATAAAAAAATGATGCTTGGTAGACTTTTGCCAAAAATGCTGTAAAATTAACAAATATCTTTCACTTTATTGACACAAACCTGTAAGTTTGAGACTTGACAAGTGTAGGTCCTCTTTATGCAGACTCATACATGAGAAGTAGGAATCTTTCTTATTTCTTTCCCTAGTTTTATCATTTGTTTAGCTGCTTAGGTTTTAGTAGAAAGGGATAATTATGGTATAAACATTAACAGAAGGCTAAAACTATGAAGAGTGAGCAACTGGATCATCAGTTTCAATTTACTTATATGGGTCAGAAATCTAAAATTTCTCTAGACGTAAACCGAGAAAATCAAGTTAAGATGTAATAAAATTTTGGAAAAGATAGATAACGGAGAAGGAAGAAGAACCCAAATGAGTCCAAATTAACTTTTTTTTTGGGGGGGGAGGTAGTGTTGGGATTGAACCCAGGGCCTGCTAGTCAAATACTCTCTTCCACTGAGCTACACTCAAAGCCAGCATTTCTTAAAGCTTAACTAGATCTGGGTAATGAGCTGTTTTGCTTAATCACATGCACTATGGCCATTACAGGAAATGGACACACACAGACCATTCATTTCCTTTTTCCCTAATGTGTTTTTACTATTAATCAAATTTTATTAAAAGATATTAATCCTGCCATCTTGTGATCTAGCCAATGAACCCAGGACAAGTATAAGGATGGCCAATACTGCTTAACCATCAGAAAAAAACATTAACGTACCTTTGGGCCTGGAACTCCAGGGCTTCCTGGAAGGCCTGATGAGCCCTTTATTCCTCGAGGACCTGGAGACCCAGCGAGTCCTGTTCTTCCTGGACTGCCTTTGATGCCCTAGAAAGCATAGATAAGAAATGAAACTGCGAAGTTCCTATTAAATTGATGTAGAGACTCAATAAGTTTAGGAAGGGTTGTGCTCCAGAAGACTGCTGTTGATGTACTGCCTAGGTTCTGCAGTTATCCAGGGCTTCTTTCCCAAAAAAGTGAAACAAGTAAAGAATATTTTAGAAGCACCTAGCATATACTTGAAATCTCTAATAGTTAATATGATAATCTTGGGTTTTCTAAATGAAAATACCAAGGCAGTACAAAGTTTGCCAGTACCTTCTAAATTATGTAGCCTAAGTGTAAAGTATGTTATGTGACATTCTTTTTAAAAAAATTATACAACTCTAATAACTGATTAATGTTTCCTTATAACAAATTTTCTCAACCACACATGATCTGAGAAAATTTACTAAAAATAGTTGGGGGCTAAGCAAGCCAATAGTATATCCTTAAAACCAAATCCTAATTAAGGTTTGCAAACTATGGTTTGCAAGCCAAACTCTGGTAATTCATCTGTTTTTGTATAGCTTCTGACCTAAGAATAGTAGTTTTCACATTTTTAAATGATGGGAAAAATCAATAGAAGAATAATACTTAAAGATGTGAAATGATACGAAATTAAAATTTAAATAACTGTGAATAAAGTTTTATTGGAACACAGCCATACTCATTCATTTATGTATTATCTGGCTGCTTTTATACTGCAATAGCAAAGCTGAGTAGATACAGTGGAGAACTTCTCATGCATTTTCATTTCTATGCACTGCTGCTCGGTGCATAGGAATTGTAATGAGGTAGTTAAAACAGTATTTCTGGGCTGGGGATGTGGCTCAAGCGGTAGCGCGCTCGCCTGGCATGTGTGCGGCCGGGGTTCGATCCTCAGCACCACATACCAACAAAGATGTTGTGTCTGCTGAGAACTAAAAAATAAATATTAAAAAAAAATTCTCTCCTCTCTCACTCTCTCTTTTAAAAAAAAAACTTAGTATTTCAAGTGGAACATACATTGTCTTAGTGTGTCATTTTATCTTATTTGTTTTATTATCTGTAATACTAACAAGAAATTTGAGCATAGTAGCAGAGTGTTCTGTACAAAGTTCCAAACAATGTTTCACACAAGTAAAGAACAAATACTTCTTATGAATACACAGATGGATGATTAATTTTGCTTGCAAGAGAAACAGACACTAATCCCTAGACATTCGTTCCAGTGTCTTATTTTGACTTGTTTAAAACTATTCAGCAAAAGGTAAAGTCATTCTGGGCAAATTTTAAAAAGTAAGTAAAGCCATAATAGTTATTACTTGTAGTTAGAGATGCTACAATCAATGAATAGTTCATCTGAGTCCTATAAAATTTAATATAATGATTAAGGGTACATGATGTTTCATGGCTGAAGGGTTCTATTATTCTCAGACAGAAGCCATTCTTTTTGTAGAAATCAGTTTTGAATTCTTTAAGAAAGTGTTGTCAATTTTGATAGAAGTGAAACTGATGGCATAAGTTTTGACATCCTAAGGAAACAAGAACTGTACTTGGATGAGTTAAGGGCAGCAAAAAAGATCAAACGCCAAGAGTTATTTTTAATTGAGTGCCTCCTATGTGTCAGAAACTGTAGCAGTATTATGGTTACATTTAATTTCAGTTAAGGAAAGAATATGGCATTGCCTTTTTCCATTTAATTTTCCTCTGGGGAACTGAATGGAAAGATCTGGGAAGGAAAATGGGGTTACCTATACACATTTAGAAGAAAGAGACAGACTCTGCAATGATGATGCTTGGTGTGTATAAAATATTGAAACATCAAAGAGAATGTCTCTCAGTTATTCCCTTGGTTTAGCTGTTGTAGTCTTATTTAGATTGAAAGAAACATTAAGAAATAAGTAATACATAAAACTTGTTAAATCTGGGCAACAATAGAAAATCACATTTTAAGGAGGATTAGCTGGGGAATACTATCTTTAAAATTATGCTAAATAAAATTTTAAGTATTTATGATGTTAATTTCATTGATTTCTCAACACTAGAATGATAAAAATTAAAGTGCATTCAAATTTCAAATTAGTTGAGTTTTTTTTTTAAAGAACTATCTTGAAAATTATTTTAGGAAAACATTTTTTTTTCCTTTACTTTACCAACCACTAGGCACCTCTTTCCACATGGCATTATATTTATACAGTTATTAAATGTGTTAGGAAGGTAGTAATTTAAATTAATTTACTTTCTATGGTACCAAAAATAAGTATGCTGTCCTGAAATTTCTTTGCACTATTAGGCAATGGAAGTACTCTGGGTTTTCTTTCTTTCTTTCTTCTTCTTCTTCTTTTTTTTTTTTGCTTCCTTTACTCTAGCAACTAAAAACACTTTTGTTTAAATAGACATTTCTCATTTTATTTGGTTTACTAAATATATCCCTTCTAGGAAAGAATTGGCTGTTTAAAAATATGTGGGATAGTAATTATTAGGTGATTATATGTAAGACTACATTATACATAAATAATGTAGCATTCATAACGTTTTCCTGCAGTGCCAGTCATAAGTAATGTAGCCAACTTCTAGAAAAAAAAAGATTTATGAATGAGCTGTATGCTAAAGTTAGGAGGTAATTTTAGTTTTGAATCTCGAACTAAATGAAACTTAGGGAAAATGAGAGCAAGATGGAAGCAAATATGAAGGTGGTAAAGATAGATTCGCTTGACTTATGTCCATTCCCAAGAGCAAAGAAAACTAAGTAACCAATTCTTCAAATGTAATAAAAACAGGCATTTTGATACTGTTTTACCTCACATATAATTAATTACTAACAATTACTAATTATTTTCATTATAACAATTGATGGCTTATCAATACTGAAAAATGGACAAGGCAAAAGCCTCTATAATACTGGACAAAAGAAGTGTATCCTATTAATCTCATTCATACAAGTGTCAACACACTGTCACAGGATTACCAGGGCATAAAAGGGGACTTTTCAGCTATACTGTGGCTCCTAGACATGTTTAGGCTCACGCTGCTATGAAGAAATAAATGTATATCCTTTTGTTTAAAAAATAACAAAGACTATACCCTTGATACCTTATTTTATCCTCCAATAATTCTGTGAACATGCAAAACTTTTTCCTGACTGTGTTTTCATTTTGGCTCCTTTCTCATAGAAGTTCTCATATCTAGTTTAGTCTTACCTTCAGTCCTCAGCTCAAGTACGACTTTCTCAGTGACTCCCTCGGCTATTCCATACAGAACCTGCTCCTCTCATTATCTCATAGCTCTATATTTATCACAACACAACACCATTAACCAGTCATATTTATTAGTATGGAAAGATATTAACTCAATAAGTGCATGCAGTGTGTATTAAGAATTTTATATACAATATTTCATTTGATGCTTATAAAAGTAATATGAATTAGGTATTGTATTCATTTAATAGACTATGCTTAAGATTTTAAGTAGCTAATACATCTAAACTGAGGTCTCTAAGGTTGTAGTTATTATACAAAGAACATTTATGGCTCAAAGGTTTATAGAGCTTCTCTTATGAGCCTCACACTGTACAAGGTGTCAGGGACAAAAAAAGATGAGTAAAACACAATTGTTCTACAAGAGTTTACAACTTCTTGGAAGAGAAAGACATGAAGACAAGTAATTAGCACCTATATTATTCATTCTCTGATAGAGGAAGTGCCTTGAGTATACAGAAGTTCAAAGCAGACATGCTTAATTCTGATTTAGAAGAGAGCATAAAGGAAGTATTCTTTGAATTAAATACTGAAAGGTTAACAGATTGTTTACCACAAATTTGAGGGAAAGATGGAAAAGTTTTCTAAACAGAGGGAATAAATTACATGTACAAAGACAAGCCAGTAAATACAAAGAATTTGGAGGAAATTTCTAAAGTAACTAAGTATACTTAAAAGAGTATGTTAAGAACTGGAACAAAATCAGGCTGCCTGGTTTTAAATTCTTGCTCCATTATTCATTGTCTGTGTACCCTTGGGCAAGTTAGTCTCTCTGAGTCTCAGTTTCCTTTTCTGTAAACTGGAGAAAATAGCTATAACTACTTCATGGAGAGTCTGTGAAGGTTAAATAATTTAATATATTTTCAGCACCTGGAATAGTGCTTGGCACACAGAAAGCATTTAATAATCGTTAGCTATTATTATGACTGAAATGTACAACACATGTGAGGAACAAGGTAGCATGTGAGACTGAAAATGTAAACAGTGGCCAATCATGAAGGAACATCATTCCAAAAAGAGCATGAATTTTATCTAATTGGGAGCCACTGAAGATTGAACTAGGAAAGTTACATCCCCTCACAAATCTTTCACTTTGTTGCTAATAAGCAGTCAGAGTTTTGTCTATTCTGGAAGAGGTCCTAATGAGTGGAAAATGGGCCCAAACAAGCAACAAGGTTTGGAAAAAAGGGAGAAAGTAGTAGTCAGGATGAACCATAACTAGATTAATCAATGTGTTAGTAATGAAGAGTCAACAGAATTGGCCAAATGGAGTGTAGTGTAACTACTCATAGACTAGAGAACACAGAGAAAGCAGATGAGCAGCTGGGCTGATGGTGTTCCTGCTTCCATGGTGGTCCTGCTGCTCCATGCTTGGATGAGGAATGGGTTGATGAAGTGTGTTTTTCCTTCCTACACAGTACTGGAAACAATCCACAAATGGAAAACTCAAGGTTTTCAATGTTCTTTTAACACAAGAATCTCATTTTAGACAACATTTAAGCCTGGGTTCACCTTAAAAACTCTAAATTCAATATTGAAAGGCCTTGATTTGTCGTAAGTCATTAGTTTTGTTTCATTCTTTCCTTTCCAACAACCTTGCAGCAATAAAAAATAAATAAATAAAAAGACCAGTAAGCTTTGGTTTTGGTGACAAATGGATTTATGATTTTTGTAAGGAAAAGTTGTTTTCCTTTTTCCTAAATGATTGAGGTAGTGTGTTCATATAGAAGTTCAACTCAATGAAAGCAGCATGGTAGACTCATTTAC